AAGAGAAAAAAGAACTGAATGAAAACACCTGGTGCTCAATGAAAATAAATTTTATTTTGTCAGCGCCAGGCTTGAACAATTGAAAAATAACAAACAAACAAACAAACAAACAAACTCTTTGGTTATTGTGTCAAAATGCCATATCAGTTACACACTCAAATAAGGGTTTACAGATAACACTCATGTGAACTGTACTAATATTCCAGGCTAAATTTAAGGATTTTGTAATTCCAAAAAGAAAAAAAAAGTTCACACAATCATAAATATATTTAGACAAACATTCATTACTGGACAAAAAGAGAAAAAAGAACTGAATGAAAACACCTGGTGCTCAATGAAAAGAAATTTTATGACATGAGTGCCAGGCTTGAGCAATTGAAAAACAAACAACAAACTCTGTGGTTATTGTGTCAAAATGCCATATCAGTTACACACTCAAATAAGGGTTTACAGATAACACTCATGTGAACTGTACTAATATTCCAGGCTAAATTTAAGGATTTTGTAATTCCAAAAAGAAAAAAAAAGTTCACACAATCATAAATATATTTAGACAAACATTCATTACTGGACAAAAAGAGAAAAAAGAACTGAATGAAAACACCTGGTGCTCAATGAAAAGAAATTTTATGACATGAGTGCCAGGCTTGAGCAATTGAAAAACAAACAACAAACTCTGTGGTTATTGTGTCAAAATGCCATATCAGTTACACACTCAAATAAGGGTTTACAGATAACACTCATGTGAACTGTACTAATATTCCAGGCTAAATTTAAGGATTTTGTAATTCCAAAAAGAAAAAAAAAGTTCACACAATCATAAATATATTTAGACAAACATTCATTACTGGACAAANGAGATACCCTAAATGCAGGTTTCAGTGTACATGTAAGGAAGTTGATCAGCTCTCTTATATATAATTAATTTAATTATGTGAACTGTTTATACACCTTCACTTGTAAATGTGAACACTTATATTTCAAGGGCCACTTCCTTGAATGGAAATTATATAAAACAAATGTACACCTGGTCCCTGAGCTAATGTTAGCCACTAATGTGTCATCACATTACTTCTTTCCAGCCTGAATGGTTTCCATAACAGTTAGATGGCCTAAGTAACACAGGATCATTTGTCACTTCAGCTGCTGCTATTTAATTTAGCATTTGCAAACTGTGCAGCAATTCCAAGAGCCTCCTGCAGGCAAGAAACATTTGACCCGGACGCCTGGGCTGCCTCAGGCTTACCTCCGCCCTTCCCTTGCATAAGCCCTGACACTTGTTGTACCCACTCATTGGCCTTCAGTCCTCTGTTCACAGCACTCTGAAAGAGTCAAGAAATTCTTAAAAAAAAGAAACAAATGCATGGTTTATTTTTATAAGAATTGATTAATTTGTAGGTTATTTAACTCCTATCATCCTAGAATTTGAAATTTTAACCAATTAAGTGTACATATTCTGTGCCCTTATCTGTCCCGCAATGGGACATTAAAAATCCTGATATTTAAACTCGTTACTGGGGGATTTAATTGTATAACTGTTTGTCCCCTTTATAAAACTCAATATCTGAACCATGTGTAGTTATAAAATTAGGAAACAAAAGGTTTCTGAAAGACCAATTATCAGAGTTCATATATTTTCATTTACGAGGGTAGGTCAATAAGTAAGTTACAAATGGATACAGAACTTATACAAATAAGAGTACTGATTTGAAAAATGCTTTTATTTCTCAACATAATCTCCCTGTACATTGAGGCACTTGTCCCATCATTTCACAAGCCCCTGAAAACCAGCAGCATAAAATTCTTTGGGCTGCTGTCGGAACCAGGCGGTGACTTTCCTTTCTACAGCTTCATCATCGGGAAAATGTTAGGATGTTACAGTAAGAGTTGGCATTTACAGTTTGTCCTTGAGGCTGGAATGCGGTGAGCAGTATACCTTCATGATCCCAGAAGACTGTGAGCATCACTTTCCTGGAGTATGGTGTCACCTTAAACTTTTTTTGGCAGGTGACGCAGGATGTTTCCACTGTACTGACACACGCTTTGTCTTGGGCCAGTGATGGTGAACCCAAGACTCATCACCTGTGACAATTTGGGCTAGCATATCATGTCCTTCATCGTGGTAGCGACTGAGATGCTGTAATGCCAGACCCATTCTTTGCATGTGCAGCACCCATCATGCACAGACTATGTGAAAACCTAATCTGTCATACATGATGAGGTAGGTCATGCCATGTGAACAACCAATAGCATTGGATGTAGTGTCTACAGTTACCCTTCTGTCTGCTTGGATTAAGTCTTCAACCCGTTGCACATTCGCCTCTGTGGCAATCTCTGGCCGGCCGATGCGGTGTTTGTCTTCGATATGTGCCCACATTTCAGAGAACTTCTGCACCCAATTGTAAACAGCTTGATGTGACAGACACTTCTCACCGTAGATGGGAAGCATTTCTTTATGAATATTCTTTGATTCCATACCTTTTGCCCATAAGAATCGCACAATGGAGTGCTGTTCGAGGGTTGTACACTCACTCAAGAGGCACCGCCATCTTGCAACTGTTGTTTTGCTTTTGGAAACATCGATTGTCTCGTGTCAAATGTCATCAATTGCCACCAGACTAATGCTGCCATCTAGTGGTAATAGTCTCAAGTGCCTCATTCAAACATGGAGTACCCCGACATCAATTTGTAACTTATTTACTGACTCACCTACATATCTAGCCTTTA